TGTCATTATGGTGATCGGTGGTGTGTCGGAAGGAGGAGATTACTTGAGTGAGTGCGTAGGGTATTTTGTCGATGAAGATAGGTGGGTAAACTTGCCACACATACATAATCACCTCGATGGGCATGCTGTTGCCGTGACTGAGTCTTACATTTATGTGGCTGGCTCCATGGAACCGGGCTTTGCCAAGACTGTGGAAAGGTACAATCCCAACAGGAATACCTGGGAGCAAGTCTCAAATCTGATAACCAGAAAGCATTCTTTTGGCCTTACTGAAGTTAAAGGGAACTTGTACAGTATTGGTGGACATGGCAATTTCAGTCCTGGCTTTAAAGATGTGGCCATTTATAATCCCGAGCAAGACAAATGGCTTAACCTGGAGGCAGCACCAAAGATCCTTCGCGATGTCAAAGCTGTTTCTGTAGAAGACCGGTTTGTTTATGTGGCTGCTCGCACCCCGGTGGACAGTGATAGCGAAGACGGATTGAGGGCGGTTATTATCAGATACGATGCTGAAACAAGGCAGTGGCAAGATGTGGAGTCTCTGCCGCTCATCGACAATTACTGCTCTTTCCAGATGTCTGTTGCGAACACAAACTTCTACCACACGGCATCGTGCTGCCCCAGGAGTTACCCTATAGATAATGAGGAAGCCAAGACAAAGATCTCTGGCAGGGCCTCGGATGAAATACTCGAAAGTTTACCCCCAGAGGTTCTCAGCATTGAAGGCGCAGCTATTTGTTACTATAAAGATGATGTTTTCATCATCGGGGGGTGGAAGAACAGTGATGACGTTGACAAGCAGTACAGGAAAGAGGCCTATCGTTACTGTGCGGAGAGAAAGCGCTGGATGCTTCTGCCTCCTATGCCCCAGCCTCGCTGCAGAGCCACGGCCTGCCACGTGAGGATTCCCTTCAGGTGCCTGCAGGGAACACAGAGATACCCAATGCCGCAGAATTTGATGTGGCAGAAAGATAGAATAAGGCAGATGCAGGAAAGGCAGATGCAGGAAATACACCGACACTGCCTGAGCTTACGGAGGCTGGCACGCTCGCAGATCGAGTGCTAGTTTCTGGGATGACTCCTGATGAATCTAGGAAATACTGTGCTAAACAATCTTGTTAGGCTTGATGGGTCTTTATAAGACATGAGGGTGTTGTTTGGACTTGATGCATAAACCCAGCATCTGTTCTGTATTGAAAGCAAAGCTCAGAAATTGAGGATGGATGAGAATTGAGAAATGGTGGGAATCCAATTATGTTACTTAAAGGTGCCCAGGGAGAAAACATAGCCTGTAACGAGCTGTGAAATAGCTGGGAACACTGAGTTTCTTATTTTTCTCTTCAGAGCTTTGTTTTCAAGGATTCCTGTAGAGTTAGTCTCTGACAGTTCTGTTTTGAAAATTCAAGATCTCTGTCATAATTTAGTGGTTACATTTGTGTGTGCTTGAAAGCACCTGTTTTATTTGCACTTATATATTGACATTCCTTTGATTCTCTCCTTCTCAGTGACTAAACTTCACATCTGATTGGTGTTAGTGTACTTAGCTCTCCTGAGTTGGAGGCTAGTGCAATAGTTATACCTATATATGGAAACAAAAGCACAATCTTTATGAAGTTACTTCAGGATGTTTCTGTGTGTATTAAGTATTTTGTATCTGTACGTGGCAGAGAGGCTGCAGAGTTTGTTTGTAAATGGATGCTTGGTAAAACATCAGACACTTGCTAAAACACAACTCGAGGCAGCACATTTATTTCAGGTGTATCTGAGGATGCTTTGAGTGTGGCTTTGACAGCTTCATTAGAAATGTGGGTCCACAGTCAGCCTGCTGTAAGGAGTGAAGACCAGCAAGGCAGCCATTCCTGTCAGCGTGGATCAGTAAGAATGAGTGTGTTGAAACCCGAGCCATTTGTAGATCCTTTCTCAAATGTGCACCCGTCTTAATTCTCGTGAAAACGTGACTAGAAGAGCCCATGGGGCCTGTTAGCAGCCTGTGTCTGACAATCAGTACCCTTTGCCTTCAGTATTACTCCCCTAGAGACTGAGAGTGGCCGTGCTGCAGTGCTCTGTAACGAACCAGCACTTGGTGTTCCTCCGGAGGAAGGCAGTTGAGTTTTGCATAGTTTCTAAGTATTTGAATTTCCCCACTTACTGTAGTGGTAAGATTTAAGCTGTCTTAAACCTTTTGGTGTTTTGAGGTGGTTTTATGTGGAGCAGTGCCCTCGTTGGCTCTGCACTGCACGTGGGATATTTGGAGTATTACTGCTTCTCCGTTGTGTCACACTGGACGCTCCTATCTGATCCAAGCAGCTCCAGGACAGTTGAGGTTACAGCAGATTCAGTGCATCCTTCCTGCCTCCTTTTCTTCCCCATCCTTCCCTTCATTTGAATGTTCCAGGTTTCCATGTGCAACCCAACTCAGGATCGTAGGGAAGGGAAAGGGAGGAGTAACCAGGGTGTTCCAAAACCTGTGTAGACAGATGTTGGAGAATCTGTTACTGCCTTTGGTTCATGTGGTGATTTGCTGGTGGTTTTGATGTGGGCAACTTCTTTGCAAAAGAACGTCTAAACAGTTTGGTTTCTTGTTTTTTGTTTTTTGTTTTTTTAATTGTTTAGCATTCTGAGCTGATACTTCTCATTTTCCCATTCAGCAGGCAGCCTAGATCGTATCTGAAACCCCGGGTAAGTCTTTCAACCGCATAGTGTGTAAAGGTTTCTCTGATGTGTACATCCCCTAACGCTCCACTTTGCAGTTCACTTGCCACTTTTGATATCAATAACCTCTCTTTTTGTAATATGATAATCTAGCCTTGTTTAAGAAAAAAAATCAACAAACCTTGAAAATCTTAAGAGTTTAGTCTCTGTTTACTCATCTGTGGTAACTGTGTTGTTGCATATATTGGCCTGTTGGGTTGTTAGGACAGATGAAACTGTGTGGTGCTGGCCCAGTGCAGAGAGGCAGTAGGTGAGCGTGCGCAGGTTTGGGGCTGAGGTCTGGAAGTGGCCGTTACCAGATCGGCTCACGTGGGCCTGTGAGCAGGGGTTACCGGTGGAGTTTGGCCCGTGAGCTCCTGCAGATTTGGCTGGGGCAGTTCTAAGACTGGCTGCTCCTACAGCAGGGTTTGTGGATACAGCTGTGAAAATGCCTCACGGCTTCAGAGCTGAATCCATGAGTTCAACTGAAACTTTGTGGAGCTGAATTTAAGGTACTTTACCAGACTTTTCCAACTGAAATTACCATCTGTGCATACGAACTACGTGGTTCAATTTGTGGCCGCATGCAACAAAGTTGGGTGCAAGAGCAGACTTCTTGCAGTGTTTTTCCAAGCAAATTGATACTGCACTTGCTGTGAGGCCTCTTGGCTGGCGCAGAGGCTGTAGCTCCCTGAAGCCGTTCCTCAGAGCCGGTCAGGACAGCTCAGCTCCCCTGGACGCCAGCCGTGGCTCTGTGGTGTGCTGTGTTCATGTGCTCTGTGTGCATGGTGAGCAACGGCACTGTGGGCAGCGCTGGCTTGCTCTGACTTGTGCTATGCCAGTTCTTAAGCAGTTGAGGTGTTTTTTTGGCCTTGACTTTCAGTGGACCCAATTGCATTGTGCACTGTTTTGAACTGACGAGTCTGGCTGTCCATTGTACCCCATGCAGTGTTTGAACAGTTGCATTTTTGACCTGGCTGTAGTTCAGCCCACTAACCTGCGAGTCGCGTAACAAAGCCCTCATCGTCCTTGACTGCCGTGGCTCACTGGGTGTTTATAGCACGATCCTATAAACAACAGCTGGGAGTTGTTTTGGTGTTTATAGCAGCTGGTTATGTGTCAGGAAGATCCTGGCATGTATTCAGTATTGGAAGGCTGATGTTGGCACTCCCTAAAGTAAAAGGGCATCAGGTGCAGTTTTCTCCTCCCATGACAACTGGACCTCTGCCCCTGCACTGAATATGTGCCACAAAACGCGTGTGTCACCTCCTGTCTCTCTGCTTCAGGTATCAGTGAAGTGGGACACAGCCTGCCCAGCGCTGCACGGTCATTGCAGTCATTCCTAGGTGCCATCCGTGTACATGCTACTTCATAACTACCTGAGTACTCCGTTAGTACGCTGGGTTTGTATGTGTTTGTAATAAGACTTTCTCTTGCACGTAGCAGGATACCACTCCAGAAATGAAGAAAACATGCCAGCTTTTTAGCATGCGTTATGAATAACTCTGGCAAGCATTCTGCTGTCTGATTGCAATGCCACTTTTCTCCCTTACAGCAAACGTTCAATCAGAACTATTGGCTCGACTTGTGTGTCATGGAGTAGACTGATTGCTGCTGACAAACTGAGTCACAAAGAATTGCAAACTTTGAGGTTATTTTGAACACAGCCTTGTAATAGCATGTTGTAACATCCAATGGGCTTAAAAAAGCAGGCTTAAAATAAGAGGTTTGTGGCTTAGATTTATTTTCAGCTATGTCCACTTTATATTAGGGTGTAAGTCATATCTCCAACTTGAGTCCTGAGCAAAGTCTGATAAAACAGGTGCTCTTGAGGATCTGATCCCATTACTAACATGAATGTAAAGTGTGGCACTAACGAGATGTTTAAGCCCATTAATAGTCAGATGCTCCTCATAGGTCCGTGTTGCTGTGGATCGCGGCAGCTGTGCTCTCCTGTCGGTGTTAATGTAGACTTCAGCTGATTGCTTGGGGAAGCAGCACTCCTGTACTTACTTCCAGTAAGGTAAAGTCGTGTGTGTGTATAGGCTGTTGGGAACAAACCCCACTGTAATGTTCTTTACCTTAAATACATTGTACTAAAGTTTATTGTAATAAGTGAATTAATGAAAATAAACTGTTTATTTCTCTAGCATTCTGTTCTACCTTTTCTTCTTCAAGTCGCTGCGTAGGCTGTGGCCAATACACACATTTTGTGATGCCACAGAATGAAAGTTTTAATTACTGATTATTCTTTTGGCCTGTATCTGTTGGTTTTTATTTTAGAATGAAGGACCGTGCGCACTTGCTGCTCAGAAAAACTTATTAGCCCTTGGTGCTGTTTCTACAGGCAGGCTGCTTGTTGAAGAAGTGAACTTGATCTCCTTGCAGGAGCTGTCGGGTCTGACCACGTACTCTGTGACGTTCAGCAGCCCCGGCACCAGGCAGCAGCTCAGCGTGCTGTGGTAGATGGCTGTGTCCTGGATGTCATACCACTCGTCAGTGCTTCTGTCGTAGCACTCCACGCTGAAGATAGTGGTAAAACCGTTAAAGCTGCCCACCACAAACAGGAGGTCATCCACCCCTTCAATGCCAAAGTTGCTGCGGGGGTTGAATGTGGTGGGAATGATGCACCACGTGTTGGTAACAGGGTTGTAAGCTTCCATGCTCTGAAGAGAGTTGACTGTCAGATCCTCCCACCTGCAAATTCCAGAGGCACAGAGGTGAAATGGGCCTGTCCTTAGCAGCAGAAACAAGTGGTGTGAGTGCTGGGTGTTGTGGTGGAGGGCCTGCTGCCCCTTACCGCGTGGATTTCATTGTCATTTGCCACCACACCCACTCTGCTGCCTCTGCTGCTCACTGGGGCTGTGAAGATACATTGGTTTGTGGTGGCATCGTACGTGTGTGATCAAGCATTCGTGTCCGTTGAACCCACCACAGATACACCCCTGTGCAGGGGAGGGAAAAGTGTCAGCGGGGCAGTCGCACCCTCGGTGGGAGCACACAGTGAGGAGAAAATGTATGGTTGGATTCTTTTAATGTATATAATCTTTTAATTTTTAATGAGAATGGCCTTGTCATCCACGGTTTGAGGTAACAGCAGTGCAATGAGTTGCTTGGGCCAGCAGGATTTAGACTCATTTCCTGAACCACACACAGCAGGTAGGTGTGGTGTTCCACTGGCCAGGACTGTGTGCGAGTGGGTGTTGGTGGCACCAGCTCTGGGGGAGTTTTACATCTCCGCTAGGCCAGTCACTCGTGCCTCTTAGAGAGCTTTATGTCTATAGCTCCAGGGTTTAATGAGTAAGGTTTATGTGAGCTTTCTTCCTCTATTTTAAACAATTCACTGTGTTAAAGGGAGCATTTGTTACCTTTCCTGCTGCCGAGTGTGCAGCCCTGTAAGAGGCTGAGCTCCGTGACAGTCCCTGCCCTGATGTGTGCTGTATGTGCGGACAGGAGCTCACTCGCTGTGAAATGCTGTATGCAGGTGTTTGGTTTCTTGTCCTCACTGTACTTCAGCTGTAGCTGCCTTCCCTCAGCTGTGGCCTGTTTACCTTGTCATACAGCGTGGTCACACTGACATCGCTCCTCTGTGCATGGGGACAATCAGCATCCACTGGTTCATCCCTGGCTCATGGCGCTCCACTGTGTTGAGGCGTGTGTACCCATCAAACACCCCCATGGTGTAGATGAAGTTGTTGAGGACAGCGATGCTGACGTAGCAGTGCTGGGAGTGCATGGGGGAAACCTCCTGCCACGCTTTCTGAAGAGTGTTGAACTGCTTGATGCTGTTGAGTCCTAGCGGTGCTGTGGTAGGCGCGGGGGCTCTGCTGCTCACAGGTGACGTTCATCCACTTGTCATCGTACGTCTCGATGACGTTGGTTGATGTCACGGAATCGCACCAAAATGGCTACACGCACACAAATAATGAACTCAAGCTTTAATCTGCGACTTAAATGAAGCAGACAAAACTTCATTCACCAAAACAACATCCCACTGACATTCAACAAATACAGGTTCGATGTGCTGGTTGGGAATATTACCAGACATAGTTATGAGTTCATGAGTTAACTTCATGAGTTAAGAATTCTTAAGTTTCTGGCCAAATGATCCAAAATGTGCACTCACTCACTCACCAAAAAGGGAGGGCTCTCAATCTCAAGAAGTTACCTTAAGTGGCATCCCAACTCAAGGGGAGAGTCCCCGACTGCAGACCCGCTGCTCCGAGGAGGACCGACTCCAATGAGTCCTCCGGCGGGGCCCCATTGATACCCTGGTCGAATCTGCTCTGTGGTCAATCCATGGTCGTGTCACCCCTGTTGGCTGAGGACCCCAACTTTCCTGCCTGTGACCCCCACTGTGTGGCCCAGACAGGAGCTGTGAGGGGGGGAGCAGTCCTGGTGCCACCAGGGCCAGAAACTTTAGCACTGTCTGTGCTGGGTCTTTCTCAGGTCTTTAGTGGGGTGGGTGCATCTGCCACAGTTGGGGTCCCCCCGCTCCAGCCCCCTGTTGCAAACAGGACGGTGTGAGGCAGGCAGGGCTGGCTGAGCGGGTTGGTGAAGTTGAAGGAGGGTGGGCTGTGGATGTTGAGGTCGTGCATCTGTCAGCGCGTTTATGATGAGGACTTTGCACTCCTCGTTGTCCTTCACGTAGTCATTCGTTTTGACGTTGTTCGTGAATTACTCTGTTGGCGTCAGTGCCAGTCGAACCTGGAAAATGCCAAGAGGGTGTCTGAGTATTAATGCAGATGCTTTAGAGCTTGGCATCCTCTGTGGATGGCCCCAAGGCTGCAGAGCTGCTTCTGTATGAGCAACGAGGGCAGCATCGTCAGCAAAAAGCAGCTTGTGGACAAGGTAGTTAAGGGTCTTGGTGTGGGCCTTCAGTCGCCTTAGGTTGAATAGGCTCCCATCAGTACGATATCGGATGTAAATGCCGTCATCTTCATCGAGGTCTGCCGTGGCCCTTTGGAGCATCGTGCTGAAGGAGATTGTGAATAGAGCTGGTGCAAGAGCGCAGCCTTGTTTCACACCATTGGTTGTTGGGAAGGGCTCAGAGTGCATCGCTGTATCTGACTTGGCCGCACTGATCCTCACGTAACAGGATAATCCTTTTGAGGATCTTGGGAGGGCATCCCAAGTTCCTCAAACTGATTATCCTGGAAACAGCAGTATGTACAAGGAAAAAGGGTGGATGCACCACACCAGCTTTAAGGGACCGGTCACAGAACCAAAGGAGCTCTCTACTGAGTGGGAGACTTTGCCAATGGAGAAACTGTTAAAGATTTGGGGGAAGTTTTAAGCTGATTGTTTATTCTTCAGTTGACTGAGAATCTATTGACCCAAAGGACGACCTCCCCTAGTCTATTAATCTTGCTTTATCTTTGTGAACTAAGTAACAGCACCTATTGGGTGTCCTGAGCAAATGGAACAACTGAGCCAATGAACAGCACCACCTGATGTAACCTGTGGACTTGAGGATCCCCAATCTGTGCGTCAGATGGTGATAGGGCTATGAAGAACGGGAAAGACACCTGAAAGAAGTCTTTATAAATATTGGAAAGTGATTTATAAATTTGGGAAGGGGAAAAGGAACTTGAAGCCACCCTGTAAAACTTGTAAATTTGGGCAATTGATAAAAATCGAGAGATCTTGTGATACTTACTGGGGAGATGCGGTGCTAACTGGAAGGAATGTGAGAAAATCAACACAGAGGTGATCCCCAGTAGAACAGAAACGAAAAATTGCCAAAATCTAATTAAAGTGGTCACGTAGCACCTAGAGTGATCAAATTGTCCTTGTGAAAGGTGGCCAGCCAAAGGGATGTGGACATACCCTGGGAAAGAACGATCCTGCCGCCAGGAGATCACAAACCTCGGCTGTTGGTTGCAACCCAACAGGCACGAGGGGCGGAGGCACGAGCCTGACCAGCAACCGCATTGTCCCAGTACTTTGGAGGAACATGGTCACCTCTCTTAAGAACCGGCCCCAGAACCATGGGGAGAAAAGTATTACTGAAATATCTGATAGAACAGCCAGGCCAGGACAAATGATCACTCAGATGCTCATTGCCACACTCATTATGGGTGTGAAGGGGAAGTGACCGGAGGCTGTGTCCATAACCAGAGCGGGTGTGCTCAGTGTAAGCTGAGCAGTGCTGCTGTCTGCTGTGATCCTCAGACCACTGATGTGGAACGTTGGCTGGAAATAAGAGTAAATGATAACAGAACGCTACAGGGGAGAACCCAAGTGTGGAACATGAAGAGCCCTGTAAAAGAGCTAAGAAAATCTGTGAATATTATAATGCTTGTAACAAAAATAAGGAACAAAAGAAAAAGGGTGGATTGTGAGAAATTGTGTGCGGGAAGTAATTTGTTAAAGCGTTGGGGTATGGAAGCGTGGCTAAGGTCTTGAGATAAGTTTCATAAGATGTGGTGCTTTAGAACATGACAGGATGAGAATTTTACAAAAAGCAGTAAAACCCTGCTCGGTATTGGGGTACAGTGAAAAGTGAAAGAGTTTGTGTTGTAAATAGAAAAGGGAGGGAATTGAAATGGAGTTGGTGAGGGTTGTAAAACTGTCAAGGTTTGGAAGATTTCTACATTCACAGACAGGTAAACGTCAAAGACAGAAAGGAGGGTTCCTCAAAGCCGAGATAAGCAGAACATCCTTGAAGATAAGGAACTAAGGAGCTGACACAGCTGCAAGAAACCGGCTTAAATCACAACTAGTTACACAGAGACCATGAAGGTGACAAGTTTACAGCGATGAAGACAATGAATGAGCCTTCATCCCTACGACCCTCAACAACACCCCAGGATTTGAGTGCACGTGTGACAACGGGCGGAAACTGATGTTAAAGGTTTCCCCAGAAAACTGCTGAATGTGTAAATAACTTCGTGAAAAATGTGGGGCTATGGTAGTGAATGTTACTATAAATAAACCTCACCCTATTACCAGGTGTGCTTCCTGAGTGCACCCAGCACGCTGCTCATAAACCTTTGCTTCACAGGATTTATCCGTCTCTAAATTTGCATTTCGTGAGCGCGTTTCTCTCAGTGTCCACAGGTAACGAGGGGCTGAAGCGCAGCTTTGGGGGGGCTCAGTGCTGCTTGGGAACGGTTGGGGCTTTTTCTCTTTATGGTGTGGGGTTAATGAGTTATGTGCTAAAAAAAAAGGGGGAGAGGGGAGGCGGGGCGGCAAAACCGCAGCTCTTGCCATGTACTTTTTGGGTTTTTTTGTTTTTTTTTCTCGTTATCTCTCCTTTCTGTTTCGCTTTCCCGGCTCGGGCCGCACTGCAGAGGAAGCAGCGCCGGTACCGGGAGCCGCTGCGCACGGGGAGGGGGAGGAGGGGCGCAGTC